AAAGAGAACGTGCGGATGAGAGACAGCGGGCGACGGGTCAACGCCTCCTATGCCCTTACAGGTTACAGGACCAGAAATATAAAACACGGCCTATGGGATGGCCTGGTCCTCCACTGTGAGGTAAACAATCCTCCTGCCGGACCTGGAGGGCGCCAACCTCGGAGATAGGACGGCGCACGTGACCAGAGCGAGCAGAGTGACCGACGGCGCCGGCATAGGAGGGTGGCGGCCGCGAGGGCCAGTCCTGGTTAACGCGTGCGTATGAGTGCGAGTGAGTGGCCGTGCGGCGTGCGGTGCGTCACGCAGCGAGGGCAGCGCGGGCCCTGACGTCAATACGACTGCATACTAGCCCCGCGCCACTCACCGCCCCAGCCAGCCCCGCCCCGCCCCGCGCCGGCTCAAGCCGCACTCCAGTGCACCACCTGACAACAAGACTCTGAGCTGGGGCGGACGTGCTGGGCATGCCGGGCAGACTCGCCCTCCCCATACACCTGGACAGGAGCCCCCGCCTGCCGACTGCTACTCCTGGTCGGCGGTGACGTCAATGCGAGCGAAGTGGCGTCGCCTGCCGGAGAGACTGGAGAGTCAGGTTGGAGAGGCTTGAGCTGCCGGCTGGAGCGACAGCAGGAGTGGCGCCTTGTGCCACCAACAGTCCCCCATGTGTTGGCTGGCGGCCAACCCCGGCAGGGCTTTGGACCCGCGGTGGCGCTACTGGGCTCGGTGTCGCATGGCGCCTGGGAGGAGGGGCTATGGCTATACAGCTACTGCAGACCGACCCGCCTGGACCGCCGGCCGGCTCCAGCAGCCGGTAGTCACGTAGCACGCGAGGGCGTTGCGACACCTGCGAGCAACTCACACACACGCGCGCACACACACACACGCACACCTCCCGTGGCTTGTCTCGGCGGACAAACACATCCACATCCCCGGGGCACGTCAGATGGGTCCTGCGGGTCCCCTCAGGTCCCCGCGCCCCTCTGGACCGGCTGTAACGTCCGGTGACCCTGCGGTGCTGTCCAGTCGCTGCGCCCCCCCCCCCTCCAGTCGTGTCGTGGGTATAAATCTCCGAGTGCCCTCCGCGCTCCCAGGCGCCCAGGTGCCGACGGGGCCTTCAGGGCTGCTGGCGGGCGGATCTGCCCTGCCCTCGGCCCTGCCCCAGCAGCCGCAGTGCGCTGCTCTGTTCCCGGAGGACTCCGCGCCTCCGGGCCGGGCCCGACCATGCCCGACTCGGCCCGGCTCTGCTCGGCTCGGCTCCGCGGAGTCTGAAGGTTCCGCGCGCCGCTGCGGCCGTCTCATGCTTTGGCCTTGCGAACAATAATAGCATCTCTTTGCCTGGAGGGAACCGGCGGCCACTCCGCTGTGAGGATGCACAGCTCATCACGCGAGTGAACACATGTCCTCGCCCGGCGGGGCGTGGTGGGGCGGGGCGAGGCGTAGCAGTGCGTGGTCAGGGGAGCTTGCGCCTGAGAGTAGGCAACCCACATAGCAGCTCACCGCCCGTCAGGTCCGGCAGAGACATACAACCGCCCCTCTTTTCGGGAGTGGTGGGACGTGGCGTGGTCGGATATTCGGGATCAGCCATAAAGCACGTCCGTCATTCGCCCTATGCAAGGTCTCATAGCGCCTGGTAGGTAGGCAACATCTTACCTGCAGTGCATACGTGTACTGCGGGGGGGCCTACACCCCGGAACGCAGGCGCCGAGCTCCGGTAAAGTCAAAGATGGCTAATCCTTTTTCGCTCTAATCCTACTGCTCGCAAAGGATTCATCATAACTCCAGCCGGATCTTACTGTCTTTCTCCTTTTCTCGGTCTACACTCTTAAAAAAATGAAATAAAAAATTGTCTAATAATTGCCATCTAGTCGTTTTCCAAACCGGAATACCAAGGAAACGGGGTTGGCGACACCAAACCAACCAACCCGTGCCACCCAGGCCGGCAGCCGCTCGTGTGCGGTGCATCCTCTTCCTGACGATACGACCCCATCCCATGCTCCCATCCCTGGCCCGGCGCCAAGTACAGCCGCGCCCGCCTCGCGCATCTGGCCGTGCACGCTGAGGTCGCGAGGCTGAGCCGAGGCACAGAGGAGCGGCGGTATTGAGGCACTGAGGCTTCGGAGAGCGCCCGCCCCGCCCCGCCCAGCCGTTGCCTTACAGCCCGATGTAATAAACTGCCCGGACTTCTTTGTCCCTGCAGCAGCAGTGGGCCGTACGACAGAGCAAGCTTCCCTGCAAAGTGGGGCAGCACGACGCACGGCTCACACACGGGCAAAGGCAGCAGAAAAGGTCTCGCCTCACCTTCGTCTCACTCGAAACTGGAATCGGTTCAAATCAGATACCCGCGCGACCTTCAGGGACGGAGTCAGGACGGAGTGAGTCGGCTTCTTGTTTGTCCGAAGGGATTCCGGACCTGTGCGGTTGGAGCCTGGGCCGCCGCCGTCCAAGACTCCAGCCGCGCCGCAAAAAAAGAGTGCGGAAGATTTGATGGACCGCTCCGTGACCGCCGCTTCGGCTCTTCCTTGACGATAACAAGTTCGCGAGTACAAGTCACTGACACGACGAGATAAACTTGAACAATATTGGGAAAGGAGAGATTAGTTCTCCAAGCCTATGTGTGACGAGTCAACGGACACGACTCCTTCAAGTGAGATAGTTTTGTCACTTCAGAAGTTTATCTTGATCCTGCTTGCTCTTGCTCTTATCTTTCCACACACGACTTACCTGTCGGGGGCGTACAACAACGTGTGGCGGTGCATCTCTGGGGCCGCTGTTCCGCGGCGAGATATGGTGCTCAGTGTTGCAGGTCCCGCGGGGGACGCTCGGCAGGGGGTGGCGCGCGCGGGGGGGCTTTCAGCAGCAGTGGACGCAGGTGTCTGATCCGGCGCGTGTGTCCGACGCACTCATCGCACGATAGAATGAGACGGAGTGACCAACAACGCGCCGTCCTAAGCGTCCCGAGCGGGCTGCAGCCCCGCGAGCCCCGCGGCGTGGAGGGAGGGGCGCGCGGGACCTCTCCGGCGGCCGCTCCCTCCAGCTCCAGAGGCACCGGCGGCAACAACTTAGCCTGGAGGATGCAGCAACTCGGCGTTTGTTCCAGAAGGCGTTATGCGAGCAAGGCGGGGCGAGGTGTCGTCTTGTGCTGGGACTTTGCGCCATCGCCCACGCCCCTTCTACCCCTCACGACTGCACCCTTTGGTGGTCACCACTTGTGGGGCTCATTTCCAGGATGTCCAGTATACCGCGTGGCTCCGCGAAATGGTCGGTGGTAGCTGCTATAGGTACCATAATTATCAGTTTACGAGCGCAACAATGGTCCATAAACCATGCTACGGATTGATGCTCTTGAAAAAAGGCCAGCAATGATACACCTCAAAAATCATTTGTCTTACAAACCGCGGACTGTTCCACGTTGCGGATTACCTGAGTGTGATTAGCGCAAAATGTAAAGAGAATCCTTTGGTCCGTCATCACTGCTGT